AGAGTGCTATGGCGTCACAGCTCACAGTAACCCCCAACTCCTGGGCTTAAGCGATTTTCTTGCCTCAGCCTCCCAAGTAGCTGGGACTATAGGCGCCCACCACAACACCTGGCTACTTTTTGGTTGTAGTTGTCATTGTTGTTTGGCAGGCCTGGGCTGGATTTGAACCTGCCAGCTCTGGTGTATGTGGCTGGAACCTTAGCCACTTGAGTGGAACTTTATGTCACTTTTACAAGCCCTACTTGCCATTGTTCTTAACTCCTCCTCCCTTCTTCCAAGCCACTGGTATCATCACCTATCTCCTGCTGACCAAGTTTACTCTTCATGTCACATTTACCAGTGTACGTGAGTTATACTTAACCTATCCCAGCCTTCCTTGATGCCCAGTGATAAATGACCATAAACTTATTTTATTTTTATTTTTTATTTTTTTGAGACAAAGTCTCTCTTTGTCACCTTCAGTAGAGTGCCTTGGCATCATAGCTCACAGAAACCTCAAACTCTTGGGCTTAAGTGACTCTCTTGCCTCAGCCTCCCAAGTAGCTGGGACTGCAGGTGCCTGGCTATTTTTAGAGATGGGGTCTTGTCCTTGCTCAGGCTGGTCTCATACATGTGAGCTCAGAGCAATCCACCCACCTTGGCCTCCCAGCATGCTAGGTGTGAGCCACCACGCCCGGCCTCATAAACTTATTTTTAAAAAATAAATAGAATGGAGGTTCTTTAAGGATTTAGCCACCTATGATATAAGAAGTAGAAGATATGTGTGACTTTAAAAAATTAAGCCAGCCATAGGAGGCATGAAAGACGCTGGCTCACCATAACTAAAAGATTGCTCGTTTTTTGTTTAAATTCAAAGTTGATTCTCTAAAAGTGAGGAATATTTGAGTCAGAGAATTTTGTACAAATTTCAGAGATGTCTTCTTTGTATTGCCTTACAAGTCTGCCACCTATTTTCAGTATGAATTTTGGTTAATTTACTTGATAATCTGTGGGAGTTTAATGAAGCAAAGAGAGTGAATTCTTTTCTTTAGACTATGAAAAGTAATTACTGTGTAAAAGTTTAAAAACCATGTTAAAGAGTCACTATCAGATAATAAAAACGTGCTTTTTTTTGTTTTCTATCTAGCGCTCAATAAAGATTAGAGATTCAAAATTTGGTTTAGCTCTTGTTATAGAAAGCTCTCAACAGGTAAGATATTTTACATTTTTATTAATCTTTGATAGATTTTTAAAACTGAACAGTCTCAATTTTTAGTTTTATTTATATAGTAAGCAATTTACATCTGAGAAGAATATTAAATATAACCCCCTACTAAAATTTAGCTACTGCTAAATTTGAGTAGCTCAAAAAAATAGTTTAAGTACATAATAATTTAAACAAAGTGTTTAATAAAATCACTTACCTTCTGAATTCTAAATTTAAACATGAATGTCTGCTCATTCCTTTACCCCGGCCTATGACTGCCATTTATTGAGTGCTTTCTCTATTCTAGGAATTGTACCAAGTGCCACATATATGTTTATCTTACTCAGTACAACAACCTGATAATCATTTTATGTTTAGAAAATTGAGGCTTAGAAAGTTTAAAGAAAGTATCTCAGGGCGGCGCATATGGCTCAAGGAGTAGGGCACCAGCCCCATATACCAGGTTTAAGCCTGGCTTCGCCAAAACTAAAAAAAAAA